GCTCCACTGACTTCGCTACCAGTAGTGGTACCGCTCGGTTTACCACTGGCTCCACCTGTTGTGCTGCTGGCTCCACTATCACTACTGGTGCCGTTTGGTTTACTATTGGCTTCACTACTGATATCGCTACTACTGCTTCCACCTCCAGGACGACTACCAACGCTACTTCCACCGCCAGCTACAGTGGTACCTGCGCCACTACTTTCACCGTTAGTTCCAGTAGTACCTGCACCACCACTTTCGCCGCCTTTTCTACCGCTACCTCCACTGTCACTTTCACCACTACCTCCACCACTATCTCCACCGCCATCACCACCGCCTTTTCCACCGCCACCTCCACCGCCTTTTCCACCGCCACCTCCATCGCCTTTTCCACCGCCACCTCCACCAAACAATCCACTGAATGCACTGAAGATAGAGAAAGCCAATCCTATAGCCGCTAGTACGAGCCCGATTGGATTTGTAGCCATTAGGATTGCAGCTATACCAGCAATAATTGCAAAGGCATGTTTAACAGGCTCTGGTATACCAGGTATGAGGTCAATGATAATTGACATTGCAGCTGTTGCAATCGAACTGATTTGAGCTGCTTTTGCGGCCAATGTTGTTGCCTTTGATAGGGCTGAAACACATTCTGTAATTTTTTTAATATTTTTGTACACAGTTCCTGCTTTTTGTATCACATCGACTACTTTCTTATCTACACCAACTGCAGCGAGTAGATTGGTAGCTAAGTCGAGATAATGATCGCCCGACAGAGGCTTTCCAGATATTAACGATTTCACCAATGGTTTGGTAGCGGTCAGTATTTGTTGTCCTTTACCACCAATGATGGAGCCCGCCACATCAATCATGTCTTCGTAGCTAATCGCTTGATTATTGAGCTTTTTATGTAGTAATGGCATAGCTGATTGAACAACATGACGAACCTCCTCTGGAAGAAAAGTACTAATTGCATTCACCGAGTGGTCAAGTATTTTTTGTGGATTCTTCGATTGAATCGAATCGATTACATCGATCACTACGTGAACTTTCTCAGCATATTCTGGTGGCAAAAATGAGGCTCCCAAGTTTAATGCATGTTTCGCTAAATCTTCAGTTGCCATATCTTTGTGTTTAATAATTGTTTGTACCTCTTGAGCTATACCATAGACTTTTTGTATTTCGGGCGGCAAACACGACTTTAGATTATCGTCATTCAAGAGAGTATTCAATGCTTGTAAGGGATCCTTTGTTTGTGAAAGAGCTTGAGCAGCTGAGTTTGCTATTGTGACGGCTGTATCAATTTTCTTGGCATGTTCCGGAAAATATCCATTTGCTATCGAATGAATTGCTCCTTGTAGATCATTATTTTGTATTTGATTAATTGCATTTTGTGCAACGACCAGTGACTTCGCCGTTTTCTCGTCGACTATACCAATAGCTGCATCAAAAGCACAACCAAGTAGATTTTCTTTCGTTATTGGTTGCTTCGTTAGTTGAGTTAATGATGTCAAAATCTTTTGAGCTTGTTCCGGTATATGTGGAATAAGTGTGAGAGCTTCTTTGATTGCATCGATTTCCTGATGATTCGTCAATTTTTCATATACATTTGCGGCAGTATGTAGCATTGCTGATGTTTTCTTTGGTGCCAGAACTGAAGCTAAATCAAACGTTGTTTTGACCACATCTTTTAATTCGCATGTTTCTAACTGGCTGAACTGTTCTATTTTTTCAAAAAGTGCTTGGGTCTCTTTGTTCGGTAATAGTTGTGCGAGATACTTTAATGATTGCAGTTTGTCAATTGACAATGAATTCAATGCATTCAACGATACTTGTAGAACATTTCCTGTTTCCAATCCGTACAAATCAGTTATCGTTTCAATGACTTGATTTTGTATCGCCTTTGAAGAAGCCAACTGTTTGATGCCTTCATTGAATCCCAATCGAAGATTTTCTGGAAGCAAAACTGAAATCGATTTGAGTGCTTGAATTGGTTCTTCTATTCCTCGATCAAGTATTCTTCCCAAACTGATCTCAGATGAGTCTATAGAAATGATTTCTTGTGCTAATTCGATAATTTTTTGTTTGACATCACCAACAATTATTTCTGGGGTCGATCCTAAGATAGCTTTGGCTTGATTGGAGAGCTGCTCATCTGGTATTAAATTAAGAACTTCATCAATGACAGTCATCGTTGGATTACTGTTGTTAGTCAAACTGTTCAATGCATTTGATATTGGCTTAAGAAATCGTTTCATATTCGGATCAGGAATGCATTCAATCGTTTGGTTTACAAAAGTTGAAATATTCGTTTGAGTGAGTTCGCCACTTAGAACTGGCATCAAATGTTTATATGATTCCAATAATGTATTGAGATGATCAAGTGGTTTCAATCCCACATCGGTATCGTTCAAACGACATGTTAGTTTAATACCCAGTTCCAATGCTTCGCATTGTGTCATAGTTGTCGAGGTCATATGCGAAACGATTTGTATTAGTTCATCGTTGGCTTGTTGTTCTCTATTCGTTGGATTAATTAGATCGCAAAGATCAGAAATATTTTGCATTAATGGAACAATATCATTATTCTAAATGCTATCGAATATGGTCGCTAAATGATGATTGAGGTTTTTATGTTCGATCAATTTCAATTCGTCGACAAGAGATGCTTCAACTGTCTTAACAAAACTTGTGACCAAAGTTGGAGATGACAGTTCTAATTGGAATTGGGCAAATTTTTTTTGCAATATTTCCATCCAAACGATCTGTTTTGATTTTAATTGACGGCAGTGACATGTTATTGATAATACAGTTTCCAAGAGATTATATGAATCTTTTGGTTCAATTAGTTTTTTCAAATCAAACGATAATAATCGGCAACGATCATTTCCAAAATTTAACATTGAAGAAATAATATCACCACAGACTTGATTATTGCAGATCGATGTCTGGTCCGATAATAGAATGATAGTGAGTACTGTTCTCAATGAATCGACAGTCGCTGGATCAATATGTGACCGCAGTGTTGTACATATATCATCAATGAACATTTTCCAGTCTCGATCTGTTTTGTCTGATTGTTTCATTTCGTTTGTCAAATTCGAAATGAGACGTTGTAAACCTTGAAGTGTATCTTTGTCGGTTGAACTTAAATCGGGTGATAGTGAAGCAAGAACACATGGAAAGGTTGATAGATCGTTTATTGATGGTGAAAATTTATCATTCGAAATTCTTTCACTTAATTTCATAAATTCAACGACATTTTTTGATTCATCTGTATCATCTAATTGTTCTTGAACATAATCGAATACAGTAGAAGGAGATAGAGTATTATTCGAAGCAGCTATTGCTTGTGTGACAAGCTGCAAATCAGCCAATGGCAGATTCGATTCGAACATTTTCTGCAAAATGACATTTTCATTAATCGATTCACCATCAGATGATAATTGTAATAGTCGATCAAGAAATTGTAGTGGATCACGATTTGTTTCAGTTGTAATTTCTGAGATTAGTGTACTTAAGGCTTGTTCAGGGTTTTTAGTATCTTCGACTGCTTCAATTGTGTTAACTACTTTTTCCATCAAATTTTTCAACTGTTGTTTATCCTTGTTCGATAGTTTTTGAGTTTCATCTTGATTCATGACTAAATCAGTTGCATAATCGAGTAAACGTTTTTTTGCCATATTTTCTTTACTAGGATCTTTATGATTATTCTTTTCATATTCAATTAAACGTGCAAGTATTTGTTCATGTTCCTTTCTTGCATGTTGTTCGAAAAGAATCGATAATTTTTCAGCACAATCAATTGCTAATGATAGATTTTCGGCTTGTGTCTTTCCTTCTATACCGATAATAGCTCTTGACAAATTTTCATTCACAATTACGTGTATTTTTTCGTACAAAGTTCTCCATTCAGTTGTTGTCAATGTTTCAAATGTATGTTTGAGACTTTCGTAGATATTATTTGTATATGTTGTCACTTCATGATTATCGGATTCAACAGCTGACAATATCAAATCACATGTTAAACCTGCAGGAGTATCTGAACGTTTAGGATCGGAATGTACTAATCCATCGATTAGAGTGATAATTGGAGCAAGGGCTGTGGCTGCTCTTTGACGAAATAGATTCGTATTGTCTTCGAGTAATTCCATTAATCGTGTTTCGGTTTCGGATTGTGATAAATGTTTCCATGATGATGGAAGATCAATCCGTTGTTTGTTATCTATTAATATTTCTTGAGGTTCGATTCGTCCAGTAATGATCAATTTATATCTTTTGATCGTTCTTTCTGAAAGTCGAACTACTAATGGTAGATCAAATTTGAAATTTCCTGTTGGTGCAGTTTGTTTTATTTCAACCGTACATGTAATTTTTCGTGGATGAAGTGGAGATAGTGCAATAATTTTTTCATTATTCGCAAATTTGAAATTGAATATAGAATTCTCTTTTGATTCGTATTCTAATTGAGCAGATAAATTTCCATCATTTCTAACTGCAATTGTAAATGGTGGAATTTTTGAGCCTGGTGTTCGTGTACCACAATGAAGAATATTCTGATCTAATGAAATGATCGCAGCCATTCGTTTACAATTGAAAGGAATACGTTGTATTCTTTCTTTACAGTTTGTTTGAAGAAGAAATTCACAATCAAATGAGGCTAATTTCTTTTGAACTTGGTATGTATAATGACATTCAACTGTTTGTTGAGGTAGAATGATAAATGGAAACAGAACATGGTTGTCAATAGTGACATGTGTCGATGTGGTATGTATATCATCAATGAACATTTTTACCGGACCTTTATTGTGTAGAATGAGTTGACCTTTTGTATCGTTAGCTTCTTCAGAAACTTGCAGTTTTATAAGAGAGTTAACGCGAGATTTATCTAATTCTGGCCAACCGGATGTCGTCTTGAATATTAATTTAAACGATGGACGTTGACTTGCATTAGGAAAAATAAAATCAATAAGATTTTCGATTACTCGATGTGCATCTTTGACTTGTAATCCGATTTTCAATATAAATGATGTACCTGGTTCCAGAAGAACTTGGTGGTGAGATAGCATCATGACAACCATTTTCGAAATATTTTCAGGTTTTGATTCGATGACCATTTTTACTTCACCTGTATTGTGTATTGTAAGTTCTTCATAGAGAGTTGTGCCTGGAAGACATGGTTCTAAGTCAATACAAAACTTTTTCCCTGTTAAAGATATTGATTTATAAATGAGATCATAAGAAATTCTTCGTAATTTGCCTAAACAAATAATTCGAACTTTGAAATCTTTACTAAAGTAAATTTCATAGACACATCTTGCATCTTGAACTATATCTTGTATATTCCAATCAACAGTTAATGTTTTTGATTCGTATGCAAGTAGGAAAAATGCTGAATATTTACTATCAATTTCAAATTTTCCAATGGCACCACCTTCTCGACGTATTTTAACTCGTAGATCGAGTGCTGTTGGATTTTGAAGAGTAAATGAACGTTTTTCATGTTTATCAGAGCAAGCGAGAACTATGCCAAAATCGATTAAATAAGTTTTGACTTGATTCAACGATTGATCATCAACTGTTGCTTCGAACAATGGTAGATCGATACCAATCGAAAATTGTTTTATTTCGCAACAAAGAATAATAGATATGATCAAACGATTATTTCCTAATTTCAATTGCCATTGTTCTTGATATTTACCTTGATTAATTTCACTATTTGGTGTTACCTTGATAGTATTCAAATCATGTGGATCAAGGACAGATGATGAATGATGAATCACAAATGCAGATTTGGAACGTTCATCAGAAGTAGATGACATATCAAAATTGATTTCATCATCACTATTATTTACAATTTGAATTGATTTTGTATTTAATTGTGCATAAGACCAATTCTGAATGATTTGTCCCAGTTGTATGATAATCGATGAATGTGATGCAAAATATTCGCCATTCTGCTTATTAAGCGTTATTTTACTTGTAGATGGTGAACCGGTCGACTTCATCAGTGTTGTAACATTAACTTTTTTACTTATTTCGTTTAGATTAGCTATACGTGATGGCTGTGTAATAGATCGCATTTGTTTTTTTCGTTCATGGATCAGAACTGATGTTTCATCAATGATCACTTGACACGCACCTAATTCTTTTTCATTCATCAATGTTTGTTGTTCTTTTCGGACTAGATGCTTTCTTATCGTATCGAGTATAAAAATAGCTTTCTCACAATGCTCTTTTGTTTCGAGTGGATGAACAAGTAATTGTATCAAATTCAATTCAATCGAAATCAGAATACGATAGATTTCTAAGCCAAAATTAAGTTCACGTTCAGCCAATCCATTTCCATCACGGAGTAATAGACGCATTTGTTTTGTATAGATTTTGTCAACATTCTCTTTTGATACTGTTTCTTCGTTGTCAATCAATTGGACGAGAAAGCCATTACGTTGAAGATTTTCTAATGATCTATCGAGTATCTGTCGAAATTCTATGTTAGATTGTAGATCTTTTTCTATAGCAAGTGATGCATCATGTAATTTCGATAGAGTAGCTGCTAACTTGTCGAAATGAAATACTTCTTTGAATGTTTGTAATTCTTGTTTTAAAGCATCGGCTGAATCAAATCCTAGAAAAATACGATGTTGAATTCGATTGAGTTCATTTTCATCAACTGTTGCATTTAATGTGTTCACTGTTTGTACGATTGTTCTTTCTAAATATTCGTACTTCGATAATAGTAGAGTCATAAGAAAATGATGCGTGGGTGGAGATGAAACTTTTAGTGTTTGAAAATCTCTTTCCAGTGCAATTGTTGGTGTTGCAATTATACTGTCTTGTTTAGGTATAGGATTATAGAATGGTAGTTCCGGCATTTTGCAATCATATATGGTTATTTGTTCAATATCTCTGCACACACGATTTAGATCTTTTATCCAATTTCCAAGTTTTCTCTTTCTTTCGAAAGCACTCAAATCTCGATACTCTTTAAGTAACTCGAAAAATAAATGATCTGACAAAGTATCGATTAAAGTAGTAGATTTGTCTGTTGTCATTGAAGCTTCTTTTGATTCATCTGATGTCGTAATAGATGCATTTTCTTTCATCAAATTGTCTTCAATAGTGATATCAGAAAATTGTATTGAGGTATTAGGAGTAATGCGTAAAACAATCGTATTTTTTCTGTTTATCCCAAACATGTATTTTACATCGATTTCATCTAATGAACAAGTATCAGCAGGCTTAAGTTGAATAGTACCCATATCTGTCCATAGGTTTTTTTCATCATCACCAGCCATAATTCGCAAGAACCAAGTTTTTTTGGAAGTTAATGGTGCTGGTATTAAATATGTAAATAAATCTTCTACATAATTTGAGAGTGTATAACTTTTCAATGGTTTTGGCACGCTCTCGAATATTTCCGTGTCAGACTCTTTTGCAAAGATTTGAATTTTATTATCCCACATATCTCGATATC